CCCACAAGGGGAGCCCAGCTCCACAAGGGAGCCAGCCCCCCCCGGGGTGACCAGCCCCCCTGGGGACCCAACCCACAGAGGAGCCCAGCCCACCGGGGAGCCAGCCCACAGGGGGATCCAGTCCACAGGGCAGCCAGGCCATCAGGGGCGTCCTGCCCCACCAGGGATCCCAGCTCACAGGGCAGCCAGCCCCACAGGGGAGCCAGTCCACCGGGGAGCCAGCCCACCAGGAGCCAGCCCACAGGGGAGCCAGCCCACCGGGTGACCAGCCCACAGGGGAGCCAGCCCCAGGGCAGCCAGTGGCGACGGGCACGGCGAAGGATGACATGCCGCCCACCTCCGCTGAGTCAGCAGACAGGAGGCACTGTGCGCCCAGCTCCCGCTCACTCAGGCCAAAGCCAACTGGACAGCGAAGTGTGCACAGCTGTCCCTGCAGGCCAGGGCCCTTGCTCACCAACCCCACCCAAGCCGGCGCCCAGGCCTACCTGCTGGTGATGGAGCCATTCCTGTCCTTCAGGGCCAGCTCCCGCTGCTGCAGCTCCACGATGAACCGGGAGAGGTCTTCCGGGGACCTGCGGGTCAGAACACACTCAGCACCGGACGACTCGGACCCGGGATGCGTTCCATCCTGGGCGCACCCCCCCACCTCGCCTCTAACCATGGCCCGCCACTGCCCGCGTCACCTCAGGTGAGCGACTTCATACGCCATGGCATCCCTTCGCCTGTGAAAACAGGGCCGCTGAGCAGAGGGCATGCCACGCGGTCTGAAGCGCAGAAGCACCGCCGGCCCCGGCCCGGAGGAGGCACTCACTGCCCCCCCCCGCCCCCCCTCAGAGCCCACACCTCAGAGCCCCCCACCCCCCCTCAGAGCCCACGCCTCAGCACAGCCACTGCAGCCGCAGCACGGATGCCACGGGCTGGGCTCTGACTGCCACACGCCCGCAGGCCGTTACCGCAGTGATACCCACAGAGCCCTGTTGTTTACTGTTTACAAACGTGGACACAGACTCAAACGTTTCCAAACCACTCAGCTTGAGCACCGAACCGCAACCTGAAGCCCATCTTCTAACAATAAAACATTTAAAAAAGAAAAGAAAAAGAAAACAAATCCGCAAGTGCGGCCGCGTCCTGTCCTGCTGCAGCCCTGCCCAGCTGTCGTCACACGCGGAGCCCCCTGAAGTCTGCGCACCAGCCGCCCGCTCTACTCCGCGGGTGTGTGTGTGCCCAGGGCCTGCGCCTTCCTCCACCTGACGCTTCCCTCCCACGGCTTCTCCCACACTGTTCACGTCTCCACAGGGAACAGAATCCTGGGTGGGGTGAGCGCTACCATCCATCACTGAGGGTGGAGGGCCCAGGCCACAGGGCCGCCTGCCCGCTCTGCCGCAGGCCCGCTGCTCTGCCTCGGTGCTGAGCGGGCAGGGAGCACGCCGGGGTGAGGGCATGTCCCTGGGTCCCCTCGCCCCTTTGGAGGTTCCCCTAGAAGCCCAGGGCGCTGCCCGGCAGCCCACTGCCTACTACCTGAGGGTTTTCCCGGGTCTCGAACACGGACAGTCCTGGCCAAGAGCAGGTCAGGGGGACGCACCTCTGAGGCCGCAGTGAGGCTGGTGGCCGTGAGCCTGACCGCCCGCCCCCTCGGCTCACAAGCCAGGCGGGCTCCTTGGCTACCTCCCACCTGAGGGACTTGCGGGCTGTTTCATGTCCTGTGCCGACGTCGGCCTTTCCCGTGTCCCCTAGACCATGTGAGCTACAGCCCAGCCTCCTACAGTGGGTCCGCGCCTGGAAGCTGCTCTGTGCCGTGCGGTTCCCCAGGCTGCATCCCTGCCCGCTCCTGGGCCTGGCGATGGATGGGCGTCCCGGCGGAGGCCCTCAGCATCTGCGGGCGGGTCTGCTTTGGCCCCCCTCTGCGGTGGACGCGCCCTCACATCCTGGGAGCTGGCCGCTGTGTCCACGTGCACCCCGCCCTCTGCTCACTGCTCCAGTCCCGAGCTCCTGGCTGAAGTTGTGCTTGGAGCTGTTAGCCAGATGCCCTTTTGAATGTTGAAAGCATTCAAAAGATCAGCTTTTCCAAAGAGTGAGGGAGCAGGGAGAGGAAATTATGGCATTTGTTTGAAAGGCTCTGTGAGCTTTATTTAGCTCGCACGGTTCAAAGAGCGCCTCTTGTTAATCAGGAGAAGACTCTGGCCTCCCTGGGGTGGCACCGGGCTTAATTGGAACCCAGGCTGTTTGAAGTCCCTTTAATCCTGCCGGAGCGGGAGGGAGAACGTGAAGCAGCCACTGAAGATCTGAAGTTTCTTCATTCTATTTGCATGTGTCTGGGGAACCATGTAATTCGTTTCCCTGAAAGAGTGAGGCCGGTGGCTGGCTGCTGGACACAGTGAGGCCTGGGCTTCATTAGGCTGGAGCGGGAGGCCGACCCCGCTCGGCGGCATTGGGTCCCTGCACGGCGCGGTCGGGCCGCTGCAGATGGCGGCCAGGATCTGGTTTGCTGGTGCCGACGTCCGCAAGCAGAATCACCCGCGAGAGCTGTGGTTGTGCGGCCTCGTGACCCTAGCGGTCCTGACAGTCGCAGTGTGGGCTCCGGGACTCCGCTCCCACGAGGACTGCGCAGTTCTCCAGCCACAGGCCTCACTAGCCGGAAATGTCACTGGTCACTGTCGCAGGCTCATCTTTCTCATGGACCTGTGGGCAGGCCTGCAGCCAGAGAGCCAGGCCCTGCTTCTGGGCCCAGCCTGACCACAGAGGGGTGCGCAGCAGCCGCCAGCCCCACAGGGCCCCTGGCCCCTTCCCTCCTTCCCCTCCCCTCCCCTCCCCCTCCCTCCAGTACTGCCTCACCCTTGTGGCCCTGCAGAGACTGAGATGCCTGCCGATGCCTGGTATGCAGGCTGCTCTTCTCCTTAAAGAGGTGAAATGTATTATACACAGATGTCTTCAGAGAATACATACGGCCCGTCCCCTAGTCCCGTCCTGAGGAGAAGGACAGATCCTCTGAACACTGTGGGCCTTCCCCAGCTCCAGCCCACGGCTCCCGACCTCAAAGCCAAGCGCCACACCCTGTTCATCGCTGCACTTTGCTAGCGGTGAGGCCCCTCGCGCAGCCCCGCTCCCAGGAGCTGCTGTGTCCATCCGAAACGGGGCTGTTTCTGCCAGTTTCGCACGTTACTGTAATTAAAGAGTCTAATTAAATATTATAGAGGATGATGAAAAACGTGGGAAGAAAGCCGTGTTTCTATGAGAACAAAGTTGAAGGCTTTGGAATGTCTCAAAGGAAAATCGCCCCCAAATTTCTGATGAAGAAAGCAAGTGACTGTAAAAGTTTCAGAGGGAAAGCTGTAACATTTAGGAGGACTGAGGTGTCCATTTTAAAGAAACAGAGCTAAAATCACGGGTATGTTTTGTGGCTTATGTAGGAAATATAAGATGAAACTCAAGTTAGTGGACTCATAGAAGTTTGCAGCTTGGGAATGATTGTGTATTTGTAATATTTTAAGTTAAAATGTTTGATATATAAACATCTTATTTTCCACTTTATCAAACTTTTAGGATCAATAACATTCTTGATTATTTTACCTAGGAAGCGTTTTACTAGTGTATTTTTGCTCCACTTGTAATGCAAATTATTCACATTGTAATACATAGCTAACCATTTAGGAGTAATGTATGACTGTGTGATTGTAAATGGCTCTAGTTATATATTCATGCATTAACTCATCATGGAGTAATTGTTTTCTTTTTAGAAACTTTTTGTATAGTATTTCATTCTGCACTATAAGTTTATAATGCTAAGCTTTAAAAAAATCACTTTCTGAATAGGTGTAATATTTCCTTGGTACAAACGTTAACGCTGTTATAAAAGGTGCAGCGGCAAATCTGCCCTCCCGGCAGGAAGCCGGTGTTGTCTGGCGCAGCCTGGACATCTGTGCCCACATGTGAGCCCGCAGTCATGCTCACTCATTTCCATTTCCTTTAGAAATGGTGGCACAGCACACTCACTTATGTTTCTCTTTTATTCAGCAATGCATTTTGCACACCTTTCCATATAAACATATGAAAAGATTCTTTGGCCCGGCTGGTGTGGCTCAGTGGGTGAGCATTCACCGATGAACCTGGAGGTCATGGTTCAATTCCCGGTCAGGGCACATGCCTGGGTTGCGGGCTCAATTCCCAGTGGGGGGCGTGCAGGAGGCAGCCAATCGATGATTCTCTCTCATCATTGATGTTTCCATCTCTCTCTCCCTCTCCCTTCCTCTCTGATATCAATAAAAATATATTTAAAAAATAAAAAGATTCTTTGTGCTTTTCCCTTCATTTAATTTAATTTTTAAATTACCTTTATTGTTGAAAGCAGGACAGATGTCCCCTTTGTTTGTGGGTTTTGTTTTCCCCATTGACTCCCTCCACCCGCACCGGCCCCTCCCAGGCCTCACCACTCTCCTGTCTGTGCCCATGGGTTACGCATTCATGCATATAAGTTAGTCACTCCCTCCCACCCTCCCCCACACCCCCGCCTACCCTCTGAAATTGCTCAGTCCAGAGACATATTTTAAACAGATCCCACTGCATGCCTAGAGTGTCAGTTAACCAGTACCACGAACCTTGAGACCCAGTGGTCTGAGCTCAAACTTCGGTGGAATCGAGCTGGACAGATACTGTTTTGTTCGTTCAATTAACATTCATTGAGAGCCTACTTCCGTGCCAGGCGCGATTCTAGATCCACGGCCAGTGAAAACACGACAAGATACACAGCACCTGCTGCTATGGCGCTTGCGCCTGCAGTGAAGCAGGACCACAGGTAAGGAAAGGTAAAATGCAGAGCCTCCGGACGGGTCCGCTGTGAAGGAAAACCGTGCAGGGCAGAGTGCCAGGGTCGGGGTCGGGGTGCTGCCTGAAGTAGGGTGCTGGGCAGGCCGGGTGACAGAGCCTGGAAGAGCTGGCGAGGGAGCAGCCGCACAGAGGCCTGGGGAGGAGCCCTCGGGAGGCGGGCAGGGGAGGCCCTGCGTGGGGAGTCCAGCGGGGAGAGGCCGCGGTGGCCGCTGGGGGCCTGGGCTCTGGTGGCCCCGTGGCGTTTGCTTGGTGTTGTGCAGGGGATGCACTGGGAGGCCTGGCAGGAGCATGTGCTCTGAGCGACGCTGTAAAGTGGTCACTGTGGTGCCAAGGGGACGGGTCACGAGAAGACGCCGATGCCCGGCCCCAGCGGGAAGGGAGCGTTTCAGCAGGATCGCACATGAGCCATTTTCTCTTCATCGGAGCGGCCCACTCCCTTCATTATTAAACTGCTACGTTTCAAGCTGTCTGCTTCAGAGGAAGTGGAGAGCGGGGAGCAGAGCCTGGCTCTCCCTGATGCTGCTCCCAGCTGCGGGCTGATTGGTACCTCAGGGCAAGTCTCATTTCTAAATCCGTGTCACACGCTCCTGACTGCTCTCCAGATTCCCACAAGGTTCCTCGGCCAGAGACGCGGTGTCTGTCTGTCTGTCTGCAGATGCCGCTCCGAGAGCCCTCCACCGTTTCAGGTCTGCCCGACGGTCCCACCACGCTCCCCGCCGCCCGGCAGCAGCATCCCCTCCCACGTGTTGGC